ATGTAGTGGCCTTCTTTGTCTCTTTTGATCTTTGTTGGTTTAAAGTCTGTTTTATCAGAGATTAGGATTGCAACCCCTGCTTTTTTTTGTTTTCCATTTGCTTGGTAGATCTTCCTCCATCCCTTTATTTTGAGCCTATGTGTGTCTCTGCACGTGAGATGGGTCTCCTGAATACCGCACCTGATGGGTCCTGACTCTTTATCCAAACTGCCAGTCTGTGTCTTTTAATTGGAGCATTTAGCCCATTTACATTTAAGGCTAATATTGTTATGTGTGAACTTAATCTTGTCATTATGATGTTAGCTGGTTATTCTGCTTGTTAGTTGATGCAGTTTCTTCCTAGCATTGATGGTCTTTACAATTTGGCATGTTTTTGCAGTGGCTGGTTCCAGTTGTTCCTTTCCATGTTTAGTGCTTCCTTCAGGAGCTCTTGTAAGGCAGGCCTGGCGGTGACAAAATCTCTCAGCATTTGTTTGTCTGTAAAGGATTTTATTTCTCCTTCCTTTATGAAGCTTAGTTTGGCTGGATATGATATTTTGGGTTGAAAATTCTTTTCTTTAAGAATGTTGAATATTGGCCCCCACTCTCGTCTGGTTTGTAGAGTTTCTGCCAAGAGATCTACTATTAGTCTGATGGGCTTCCCTTTGTGGGTAACCCAACCTTTCTCTCTGGCTGCCCTTAACATTTTTTCCTTCATTTCAACTTCGGTGAATCTGATAGTGATGTGTCTTGGAGTTGCTCTTCTCAAGGAGTATCTTTGTGGTGTTCTCTGTATTTCCTGAATTTGCATGCTGGCCAGCTTTGCTAGGTTGGGGAAGTTCTCCTGAATAATGTCCTGAAGAGTGTTTTCCAACTTGGTTCCATTCTCCCCGTCACTTTCAGGTACACAAATCAGATGTAGATTTGGTCGTTTCACATAGTCCCATATTTCTTGGAGGCTTTGTTAATTTCTTTTTATTCTTTTTTCTCTAAACTTCTCATTTCATTTCATTCATTTGATCTTCAATCACTGATACCGTTTCTTCCACTTGATCAAATCGGCTACTGAAGCTTGTGCATGTGTCACATAGTTCTTGTGCCATGGTTTTCAGCTCCATCAGGTCATTTAAGGACTTCTCTACACTGTTTTTTCTAGTTAGTCATTTGTTTAATCTTTCTTCAAGGTTTTTAGCTCTTTGCGATGGGTTTGAACATCCTCCTTTAGCTCGGAGAAGTTTGTTACTACTGATCATCTGAAGCCTTCTTCTCTCAACTTTTCAAAGTCATTCGCCATCCAGCTTTGTTCCATTGCTGGCGAGGAGCTGTGTTCCTTTGGAGGAGAAGAGACACTCTGATTTTTAGAATTTTCAGCTTTTCTGCTCTGATTTCTCCCCATCTTTGTGGTTTTATCTACCTTTGGTCTTTGATGATGGTGACATACAGATGGGGTTTTGGTGTGGATGTCCTTTTTGTTTGTTAGTTTTCCTTCTAACAGTCAGGACCCTCAGCTGCAGGTCTGCTGGAGTTTGCTGGAGGTCCACTCCAGACCCTGTTTGCCTGGGAATCACCAGCGGAGGCTGCAGAACAGCAAATACTGCAGAACAGCAAATGTTGCTGCCTGATCCTTCCCCTGGAAGCTTCATCTCAGAGGGGCACCCAACTGTATGAGTTGTCAGTTGGCCCCTACAGAGAGGTGTCTCCAGTTAGGCTACTCAGGGGTCAGGGACCCACTTGAGGAGGCAGTCTGTCCGTTCTCAGATCTCAAACTCCGTGCTGGGAGAAGCAGTACTCTCTTCAAAGCTGTCAGATAGGGACGTTTAAGTCTGCAGAAGTTTCTGCTGCCTTTTTTTCAGTTATGCCCCACCTCCAGAGGTGGAGTCTACAGAGGCAGGCAGGCTTCCTTGAGCTGCGGTGGGCTCCACCCAGTTCCAGCTTCCCAGCCACTTTGTTTACCTACTCAAGCCACAGTAATGGCAGATGTCCCTCCCTGAGCCTCGCTGCTGCCTTGCAGTTCGATCTCAGACTGCTGTGCTAGCAGTGAGCAAGGCTCTGTGGGTGTGGGACCCTCCGATCCAGGCACCGGATATAATCTCCTGGTGTGCTGTTTGCTAAGACCGCTGGAAAAATGCAGTATTAGGGTGGGAGTGTACCGATTTTCCAGGTACGGTCTATCACGGCTTCCCTTTGCCAGGAAAGGGAATTCCCGGACCCCTTGCGCCTCCCAGGTGAGGTCATGCCCCGCCCTGCTCTGTGGGCTCCACCCACTGTCTGAGAAGCCCTAGTGAGATGAACTTGGTACCTCAGTTGGAAATGCAGAAATCACCTGTCTTCTGCCTCACTCACACTGGGAGCTGCAGATTGGAGCTGTTCCTATTCGGCCATCTTGTGACCTCCCCCCAAACTTTAAATATTACATACATGGTGCTTGTTCAAAATGCTTTTACATGCATTTAATATATGGACAACTCTTTCAGGCATAAATTTTTATGAAATTACGACCGTGGAATGACAAGTTTCAAATGTTAAGACAATGCTCAATCGCTTATACTAAACTTTCAATGAATAATATGTAGTTTCTGTTAATGCCTTTATTTTCTATTATGTTTCTTCTGATTGCATACGTTGAAATGCAATTTTACATTTACTGAAACTAATAATAAAAAATTTGGGCTTGTATTTTGCACATATTTTCCCCATTTTTCTACTAATTCATTTTTACTGTATTTTATAGAAGTATCTTTTACTGACAGATTGGAAAAACAATCCATTCTTCCCCACGGATAATCTGGGAAGCTGCTCTAAGAGGCTGATCTTGAGGCAGACAATAAAAGCGTAGTAACAGTGAGGGCCCTGGAAAAGCTCCCGGGAAAGTAAAAATCCAAAGTTTCAGTAACTAAAATTTCTTTCCTGGTTAAATACACTCAACTTGTATTTGAGCTGAGTGTTGGCCGGGTACAAATGTAGACAAAGGTTCCCAGAGTGCCGCCGCAATCCTCTCCCACAACATGGCCCTGAGCTACTCATTTTGAGATCTGCCTTTAGGGAAGAGTGAAGGAGCGGGGGCGTGGCGAGCAGCGTGAGATCATCAGAAAGCGCCCCTCGGCGTGGGCACAGCCGGCGCGTCATTGTCGTCATCGTTGCCCGACCGCTTTCCGGGAGACTGTAGTCGAAGGCCGTGAGGTATTTTTCAAAGTTGTACTTTCAGTTTTTCTCCTCCTCCTGTTTAACTCCGCTTTTCCTCTCCTGGGATTCCCCTGTAATCCTCTGGGCAGACTGAGAGAATCGGAGTTTGGCTGCATAGCCTTCCAGGAATGCAATGTCTCACAGCTCTTCGCTGGGGCAGCATTGCTGCAGGTCCCCCACTTCCGCTTGTTTTGGGGCTGCTTGCAGGCTTTGGCTTACCCCGGCCCCTCATTTCTCTCTCTTGCTCCGGTCTTTCTCTTTTTCTTCGTTTGTTAACCACCCCCTTCTCAAATCTTGGAAGACGAAAAAATTAAAAACAACAACAACAAAAAAAACATGACTTCACAATTTTCAGCTGTCTTCAAATCTTGCGTAAGGAGAGAGGCTAAAGTGGGACGTCTAGGGGAGTCACTTTACTGTGTTAGCTCCGTTTATCATTCACATTCACAGACTGCCTGCCGCTGCAGTATTAGCCCGTCTGAGATAGTGGGCTAATTTCGACCTTTAGCTGAAATCTGTGGTGGGTAATCCAAGAGAGCAGTTTTTCTTGATGAGCCAGGAAAGTTCAGTGTAACTAAAACTTGCTTGAAAATACCTTTAATATCTTCATGTTTGCTGAATACAATTCAGTTTTGGCTTGATACAGACATATTTGTCGCAATGAGATGTCTGCTATCCACTTATTAACCCATTGGTACTGTCTGATGGTAGACAAAACCAAGACTTAACCGTGATTTAAAAAAAAATTAAATTTAAAATTTTTGTGGTTACATAGTAGGTGTATATATTTATGGGGTACACGAGATGTTTTGATACAGGCAGGCAATGTGTAATAATCACATGGAAAATGGGGCATCCATCCCTTCAGGCACTTACCCTTTGTGTTACAAACAATCCAATTATACTTTTAGTTATTTAACCCTGTATTTTTGATTCAAAATTAACAGATTAGCCCTATCGAAGTACAGAGAAATATTTGCGTTTAGTGGAAATGATAGAACTCATTGTTTTGTTGAAAGATAATGATAAGTGTGAATAATGGTTTTTCAATTCTCAGTCAAAAGATACTACAGCTGCCTTCAGTTAGCTGTGTTGTATGTATCACAGTTCAGAAGTAATGCAATTTTTTTCTTAACTGCTTTTACTTTTTCAAATGACTCTTCATATGTATTATCTCAGCTCTGTTTCCAAACAGTTGACCCTTCAAGCATAGCTCTACATAGTCCACAATGGATTAGAGTATTTGATAACTTTCACTTTTGGTAAAATACTATCTAATGTATCGAGTGCTGAGCCAGGCCCTGTTCTGATGGCTTTTATCTATATTATTTATTTAATCTATGCAGCAACCCCATATACTGTTATTTCAGAAAAGAGGTGATTGTAATAAGCCACTTCCATATGTTTTGGAAGGTAATTTTGCTGCTTGATCGCTGTAATTTTGGAAATGCTTTGAATTAAACACTGAATAGAAGTAAATTTAATCTAATGTAGTTATTCATCTCAATCTTGAGCAATATCCTCATAATTTATATACTCCTCTATTATTAGACTTCTGGATACATTTATTTTTAGATGTTAATATCTTTTTTAGAAAAGGAAGAAGTCTGTATGTACTCAGGAATTGTACTGTGAGACTGGAGGAGAGTCACAGACAGTACTAACATGGAGTCACTGTTTGCCCAAGACAGCAATATTTATTGAGAACTTGTGTGTACATTTCATTGTTATTTTCTCCTGAGATAATGCAGTGCAAAAAAGCCATTCCAGTAATTCATTACGAGTGATAGAATTCTGGTGCAGCAACAGCAAGTGGCTCTCAAGTTCCAAAACACAATCATGTTGGATTTATTCTCAAGCTTAGTTCATAACTGTGTATAATTATTTGGTGTAGAGATGGGAAGAGCCCCAGAACATACATGATCATATGTTTGTTTGGATCCATGTGGTGACTTTCTAGTATCTGTAAGCTCAAACTGTAATCTGATATTAAGAGTTTCCAAAATTAAGTCTTAGGTTACTTTGGTTGGTTTTAGTTAGTTAACAAATAGTTGCTAAATACCTAATACATGACAAGACATTATATTAGTGATGTGTTCAAAATGTACCTCGACATGAATCTTACCTTGAGGAATAGCCCAGTGAGTAAATAACCAATGGAAAGGTAAGAGCAGAGGAGTGACATGATCTGACTTAGGTTTATTTTATTTTACTTTATGTTTTATTTTGTTTTACTTTATTGTCTGTTCTTTTGTTTTCTTTTGTTTCCTTTCCTGCCCTGCTCTGCCCCGCCCCGCCCCACCCCACCTCACCCCACCCACCTCTTTTCTTTCGGAGTCTGGCTCTGTTGCCCAGGCTGGAGTGCAGTGGTGCAATCTCAGCTCACTGCAACCTCCGCCTCCTGGGTTCCAACGATTCTCCTGCCTCAGCCTCCTAAGTAGCTGGGATTACAGGCACGTGTCACCATGCCCGGCTAATTTTTTTTGTATTTTTAGTAGAAATGGGGTTTCACCATGTTGGCCAGGCTGGTCTTGAACTCCTGACCTCAGGTGATCTGCCTGTCTTGGCCTCCCAAAGTGCTGGGATTACAGGCGTCAGCCACTGCGCCTGGCCTGACTTAGGTTTTAATAGAATCTTCTCTGGCTTCTGTGTTAAGAATAGTTTGTTGTGGGGTGGGGTAGGTGAAAACCAGGAGACTAATCATGGAGGTGTTGTAGTTCAGATGAGATGATAACATCTTAATTGGAAAGAAGTGAAGATGGAGAAGCAGTTTAATTTTAGATGTATTTTCTAGGAAAAGCCAATAGAATTGCTTACAGATTGAAAGTGAATTGTAAGAATAAGGTTATTGTCAAAGTTTGGGGCTTGAGCAACTAAAAGAATGAAATTGCCATTAACTGAGAAGTAGAAAACTGGGAGGGGCAGGTTTGTGGGAAGATTCGGAGTTCAGTTAAGGATGTGATAAGTTTGTGATGTCTGTTAGTCATCTAAGCGGAGATGTTGAGTAGGCAGTTAAGTATGTTCATTCCGGACTTCAGAGTGGTCACTGCTGGAAACAGACATTTGGGAGTTGTCAGTGAACAGATGGTATTTAAAGTTGTGAGACCAGAGACAGTCGTTAAAAGAGTAAATGTAGGCAGAAAAGAGTCCTTAGGCATTTTAACATTAACAAGTTAGGAAAATGAGGAATAACCACCAAATGAGACAGCCTGAGCAGCCAGTGAGGGACAAGGACAATTTTGAGTCTGGTGTTGTGGAATTTAGAGTAGAGTAATATGTTCAATTTTGTCAGGTGCAGCTGATGGATCGGGTGAAGTGAGGATTGACACCTTTGGATTTATCAAGAACTTGAGGAGTGTTATTGATAGATATGTGATTACGTTAAGTCAAGCATATAGTTGCACAGCAGTGTGATAACTGTTGTGATACAGTTATATTCAGAGAAACTTGGGAGCAAAGAGGAAGAAGAGACTACCTTTGTTTGGGAGGTATGGACACCTTTATAGAGGAGGGAGCATTTGATGTGGGTTTTAAAGGATTGATAGGCCAAGAAAATGGAGACAGTTATGAAGAGGAGGTTGATATGATTTGGGTGTGTGTCTCCTCCAGATCTCTTGTTGAAATGTGACTTCCAGTGTTGGAGGTAGGCCCGGTGGGAGATATTTGGGTCATGGAGGCAGACTGAATGTCTTGGTTTTGTCCTTGAGGTAATGAGTTGAGTTCTCACTCTGTTAGTTCACTCCTAGCGCTGGTTGTTTAAAAGAGCATGGAAGCTCCTCTTCTCTCTCTTGCTGCTTCTCCCGCCATGTCACATGTATGCTCCCCCTTTATCTCACCAAAAGCAGATGCTGGTACCGTGCTTGTTGTGTAGCCTGCAGAACTGGGAGCCAAATCTAACCTCTTTTCTTTATTAAATTACCCAGCCTCAGGTATTCCTGCATAGCAATGCAAAACGGAGGAACACGGGTATTCCAAGTAGAGGGAAAGGGCTATGATAGCACCTCAGTTCCCTTCCTTCATGGTCACATCTCCCAGTTAGCTGTTTTAAAGATGCTTTTGCCAGTCCTCTTTCCTCTGTGGCCATTTGCTAATGCCCCATGTTCAGTAGCTCCAGGCCTACTGAACATTGCTAAGGAAGTTGGAGATTCTAGTCATGTGGAGTAGTGACAGGAACAGAAGTTGAGTGTAACGTTGCTCCAGGCCTACTGAACATTGCTAAGGAAATTGGAGATTCTGGTCACGTGGATTAGTGACAGGAACAGAAGTTGAGTGTGACGTTGGGGAATAGGGTAAAGATGGGAGTTAAGGCTGGAAGGGTTACGGGAATAGACTTTCAGGGAGAAACAAACCTTTTACATTGTATAAAAGATTTTGTCCAGAGAGCATCCTACACAAATCCACTGATGGGATTTGTGAGGGATGCTCCTCCTCCATTCGATTTAAGTTCCATTCTGCCGAGCTTTACCACTTACCAGCCCTGTGACCTGTTTCTGTTGTGCCATCTGTAAAGTGAAGCTAATTTTAGTGCCCAGTCGTAGAGTTGTGAGAACTCTCCTCGCCCGCACTACAGTTTTTGTCTGCTTAACTCGTCTCTGTCATCAAGTGCTTTCTTGAGGAAGCATTCTGTCTTCCCTCAGATTAAGTCATGTCCACTATCTCATAGCACAATTTATTTCTTCATATTACTGTTGTAATTTTATATTTCCGTGATTCTTTGATTAGTGTCTATCATCCACACTAAACAGTAAGTACAGAGCAGGCAAGTTTTTGCTTACTATTATCTTCCAAGCATCAGGGCTGCCTATCATAGAGGCTAATTAAATATCTATTGAATAAGAGAGTCCTTAGAGGCTGGCATGTGGTAAATGCTCAGTAAATATTATTCATTTACATGACATTGTGCAATAAGTGCTGAGGAGGTATCAGGGATAAATAAAGGAACTGTCAGGCAACTGACAGAGGACCTGTTGAGGTTGGGTAGCATTAATTTATGTCTTTTGTGAATTTCGTTAGGAATGAATGTTCAGTAGGCCTAGAGCTAGAATGTTTGCCTAGGGGGCAGGAAGAGAAGATGAGAACTTGCAAAAGCATCTTTAAACCAGTTGACTGGGATGTTTAGCCATGTAGCAAGCAGGCCAGAGGAGGCTTTTGTACCATGAGAATAGAGGAAAATAGCCACTTGGTGGCTAGACAATTTAGGGGTAGAAAAAACATTTATATGGTTCTTTGAATGTAATAGTGGTAAAGAACGTAGGTTTAATTGTTGCTGCTAAGTAGGGGGAAATGACATTTTTATCTGGTATGTTTGAGAATAAAGTAAATTTCAAAATTTGAGATGATTGAAGTTTTTATAAGCTTAAGTATTATGTTACATATCTTGTAATTCAGAGAGTGTAACAAAATGTACTTCCTCACTTTCTTGCGTTTTGTTTCCTTCTTTTGGATCCTTTAAGAAAACTTATATGCATATACCATACAAATATGCCTCCATACTCATAATCTTATTTTCTTCAAAATAAATAGGATGGCCTGGGTATGGTGGCTCACACCTCTAATCCCAGCACTGTGGGAGGCTGAGGCGGGCAGATCACCTGAGGTCAGGAGTTTGAGACCAGCCTGGCCAGCGTGGTGAAACCTCATCTCTACTAAAAACACAAAAAAAAAAAAAAAAAAAAAGTAGCCAGGCATGGTGGTAGATGCCTGAAATCCCACCTACTTGGGAGGCTGAGGCAGGAGAATCACTTGAACCCAGTAGAGGAGGTTGCAGTGAGTTGAGATCGCACCACTGAACTCCAGCCTGGGCAACAGAAACGAAACTTCATCTCAAATAAATAAATAAATAGGATGTATTATACATGCTGTTCTTCAACTTTTGTTCATTTAATATATCTTAGGAATCTTTCTAAGCTGTACCTTGTACCTTTTACTACTGCAGAGTATTCTAATAGGCGGGCATACCATAATTTATTTAACCAGGTTCTAATAATGGATGTGTGGGTTGTTCTGTCTTAAAGTTTACTGTTTTAAAGATCATTGCAGTGGAAGTCCTTAAACATTATCTTGCGTTAAAATATACTTTGAGAAGTAAAATTGCTAGGTCAAAGGAGGTGTACATAGGTGATTTTGAAGCATGGTGCAGATTGCCCCACAAAAATGCTAAACTAATTTATACCCTGACTAATAGTGAATGGGAGGCTGTTCTCAGCTCACCTTTGTCCATTTTAGTACTATTAATCTCTTTAATTTTTAAAATGGCATCATATTCTAACAATTTATGTTTCCTTAATTATCAGTAAGGTTGAGTAGCTTTCTTTATGCTTATTGGTCATCTGGATTATTTGTGAACTGTTGATTTTCTTTGCCCATTTTTCTTTTCGATTGTGTGTACTTTTTTTTGTTGTTGTTAAATTGATTCATAGAGGCTTAAAAAAATCTTTGTGTTGCATATGTCTTTTTTTAGTTTTTTATTTGGCATTACTCTTGGATGTTTATTTATTTGTTTATTTTGCCTACATTTTTAAGGGACAGGTAAAAATACAAGAAATTAGGATTTTTTTTTTTTTTTAAAGAAGGGAATTTGCTGGGATCAGTGTCTCACACCTGTAATCCCAGCAGTTTGGGAGGCTGAGGTGGGCGGATCACAAGGTCAGGATTTCCAGACAGCCTGGCCAACATGGTGAAACCCTGTCTCTCCTAAAAAAGTACAAAAATTAGCTGGGCATGGTGGTGTGTACCTGTAATCCCAGCTACTCGGGAGGCTGAGGCAGGAGAATTGCTTGAACTTGGGAGGCAGAGGTCGCAGTGAACTGAGATTGAGCCACTGCCAAGACTCTACCTCAAAAAGAAAAAAAATAAGGAATTTGTGATACTCTTGAAATAAATAGGCACTTCAGAATGTCAGCCTTTTGTTGGAAGTGTTAGTAATACAAACCTCATTTGAGACTATATGTTCAGCAACTATCACAGATGTAGTGAGCACCCAGTAACCTTCCTCTTCCTCACCCCAGTTATATCTGGAATTGAAATGAGATATAATGGAGCTGCTTAAATATTCTAGATGACACCTTCTCTTTAGTTATTCCCCTATATATGAACTGAGTTGTATTCTAAAAGCTAGTTTGTGGTTAGCCATCTAATTTCACTATGGAAATAATGTACATAAGGTTCTTATCTTTTCTCTCAAAGTTGTAATAATTCGTGGAGGCTACTTTTTTTTTTTTTTTTAAAGCAAATTCAAAATGTTACGTAATTTTACCCCTCTATACTTCAGTGTGCATCCTCAAAAGACAGGGAAATTTTCTTATATAACTGTATTGCTGTTATCATAGATGACAGAATTATCAATAATCTGTTGGTGTCATCTAATACTTGGTCCATGTTCAGATTTCCTTCTCACAGAACTATCTTTTTATGCTTGGTTTATTTGAATCAAGATCCAAACAAGGTCTATGTATTTCATTTGGTTGTTACGTCTCTTAAATCTCTTCAATCTCTTCTTCCTCTTTCTTCCCCCATTTTTTTTTGCTTCATGCCATTGACTTGTTATAGAAACCTGATCAGTTGTCCTGTAGAGTACTGTGTTTCTCACTCCATATTTGTTTGCTTTCTTGTGGTGTTAATTTGTTCCTCTATCCTTTGTATTTCCTGTAAAATGGAAGTTAGCTCTGTAGGCTTAATTGTTCAGATTCAGCTTTTTTGGGAGTTGGAAATGCTTTGCAGATGGTGCTGTGTATGTTATATTGGCTCGCATCAGGAGGTTCATAATATGTGTGTTTCACCTACTTTTAGTGATCTATTGGTGGTCATTGCCTAAACCTATAATTTCATTAGGGGTTGCAAAGTCGTGATTCTTTTTTAAGTTGTCATTTCTTCTACATTTGTTAGCTAGAATTTGAAGTCTAGTTCTGTTACTTGGGAGCCTGATAATCAAAATAACAAGCTTGTTGTGGAAAAGTATTGTCAGAGCAATAATATTTGTGATGCCAGGAATACATCTTAGTGCAATAGTCTTTTTTTTTTTTTTTTTTTAAAGGGCTGCAGGCGTTGCTCCGTTGCCCAGGCTGGAGTGCAGTAGTGTAATTATAGCTTACTGCAGCCTCGAACTCCTGGACTCAAGTGATTCTCTCACCTCAGCCTCCTGAGTAGCTAGGACTACAGGTGCATGCCATCATGCCCAGCTAATTAAAAATATTTTCTGTTTTAGAGATGGATCTGTCTGTGTTTCCCAGGTTGGTCTTGAACTCCTGGGCTCAAGTGATCCTCCTGTCAGTCTCCCAAAGTGTTGGAATTACAGGTGTGAGCCATGGTGCCTGGCTGTGATTGTCTTTTTAATGTTTCAAGTTGGTTTGGCTGTAGCCCACAGATACTCAGTCAAACATGAATGTAGGTGTTGCTGTGAAAGTATTTCGAAGCCATTATTAAAATCCGTAATCTATTGAGTAAGGGAGATTATTCTAAATAATCTGGGTGGGCCTGATTCAATGAGTTGAAAGGCTTTAGAAGCAGAGCCGAGGTTTCCCTGACCCAAAAGAAGAAATTCCACTTGTAGACAGCAGTTTCAGCTAGTAGCCAAGAGGTCCAGCATGAGTTCCTTCCTTGATAGCTTGCCGTATGTAAACCAGTTTCTTGCCATAACTCTGTTAATACGTATCTCCTACTGGTTCTGCTTCTCTAGTTGAAACCTGACTGGTGCAAAGGGTAACTCCGCTGATGCACCTGTTCTCTAGCTGAATGGGGTGGGAAGTGGTAATAAGGGTCAGAGAACTTACGTTGTTTAGGGTAACCATATAATTTTTTGTTCAAACTGGGACAAGAAAGAAAGGAGCTGAGTTGGTGGCAAGCTGAAACAACAGGCATAAGGTGGAACTGTCTTGGGCAAATTGAGAGATACAGTCACCTTGTGTGTCAGCCATTGGGGATACAACAGGAACATGACACAGCCCCCCCTCAAGGAACTTGTAGTCAAAAGGGAAGTCAAGTAAATAAAAATACATTAAGAGATAGTGTTTTAAGTGACATGACAGCTTATAGTTGTTATATTTGTCCAGACAGAGAGCACAGAAGGAGAGCATGCAGAGAAGTCTTCATTGGCCGAACTGAAACCTATTTTTTACCTCCCAAGATAAGCAGGATTTGAACAAAGTGGAGTTGGAAGGGCGTTTCAGGCTTAGAGTGTCACACAGGTCAAAGTTGAGAGTAAGAGAGAATGGCACATTTGGAAAACTGCCATCATGGCCACAGCTCTAGGATTCAAAGAGGGGAGCCATGAAAGATGAGGTTAGGCAGACAAGCAAGGGCCACATCATAATGGGCCTTGCATCTATGCTGAGAGGTTTGGAACTATCTTCCATGTGGTAGGGAACTGTTGCAGAATTTTAAACAGAGGAGTACCATGACCAGACTGTTTAAAGCATATTTTGTAATATTCTAAAACTGGGAGTGGAGAAAAATTGATAATAGGGACACTACTCAAAGACTGTTGAAATAATCTAGCCAGTGAGAATGGAGGAAAGCTTGTGGTGTGAGGAGATTAAGGAAGCCATATTGCCAGGACTGATTGGATTTGGGGTGCCTCCCAGGTTTCTGCCTGGATTGGCCACCCTGAAGTGGAGAATTGAAGAAAAGAGGTAGCTGATGACTTCAGTTCTGTATGTGATGCTATGCACTCTTCTTTTCTGCTATGGATACTTTGGCTTCTGTATAACCAGTGAGAAGAGGGACTAAGTGGCAGTAACAGCTGTTAGGGTTACTGGGCAGCATCCCCCCAACCCAGGTCCTTAGTCTCAGCCACACCCTCCTGAGTGGTGAAGAGAAGCAAGTTTTCTCACACCCTCTCCGTCTTTCTCTACCTCTGCAGCCAGTGTTTTAGAAGGAGTGTGTGGAAGGGCGAGGAGTACCTATAGAACCCGGGAGGAGGGTGAGGAGCAGAGCTGGGTGAGTTATTTTCTTCTTTGGAAATTTTAACATGTACAACTTTAGGCATGTTCTTTAACTTCATTGTGGCTCAGTTTCTTCATCTGTGAGGTTTGGATGAACAAGTGCATGTGGAATGCTTAGAATAGTGCCTGGCACATAATCAGTGCTATTCAGGTGTTTGCTGCTGATACCATAGAGTCATTGCTTGATCCTGGGGTCAGAGTAGCTAAGGGGATGGAGGGAAATTTCTGCGCTTTTTCTTTGGAAGGAATAAATATTCAGCAACTGCCCATGTAAAATGTTAGTAGAAATCACTTGAATTAGGAGGAATTTCTCATAATAGAAGAGCCTTTATTTTTTAGTCCCCCTTGCCTTTTCTAACAACAAATATCTGCTTGTTTATTGGGGCTTAGGGACAGGGAATAATTGCAGGAAAAATCTCTACTGTGTTCTTCTGAAGAAAGGAAATGTTTTCTAATAGGAAAATTTGATGAAAAAATTCACATTTAAATAAAGACCTTTTGTGTTTTTAAAAAATACATACAGTATTTGTTAAAAGCCAAAATACTTTATTGTGCCTTTATTTAAATGTTTTTTATTAAAAATTTAATATGTGCTTTTTGAAATAAAATATAAACAATGAAGAATGAAGAGTTAAAAAAATGAGTCTGCTTTGAACCTATTCCCTAATCCTTGTCTCTTTTCAGAGAAAATGTCTGTTTTTTGTATGCTCCCTCCAGACTTTTTTCTACATGTATGTATATAACTTTTTTTTTTTAAAGCCAAATGGCATATATTAGGCACATTATGTGTTATATACAATGTTCTCTGTTCTCTTTTTCCTTCTTATTGTGTGTCACTATATATAGATTTACTTCTTTATTTTTAGAAGACATGTAATATTCTCAAGGATGAATATGCTGTAATTCATTTAACTGTTTCCCTGTCAATGAATATCTAGATTATTTCCAATATTTTGTTATAGTTTATTTCAACAAATGTTTATTGACTGTCAGGCAGTGCTTGTGAACAAATCACAAAAATTCCTGCTCTCATGTAGTTGCCTTTTGGAGGTAGACTGGCAACAAATAAATACATGTTAGTTGATATAGAGGAATGTAAGGTGGGGAAGGAGATAGGGAGTGAGGGGGAGTGGTGTGCATTTTAAAATGGGGTGGTTAGGAGAGAGATACCAATAGGTAACATTTGAGTGGAGATCTGGTGAAGGTAACATAATAAGCTCTGAAGGTGTTGTTAAGGGAGGAAGAGAGGAATAGAGTATTCTAGGAAGGAGAGAAGTCCAAAGGGAGGTAGGCATGTGCCTGTTGTCATGGGGGAAGAACAATGAGGCTATTGTGGCTGGAGTGAAATAAGCAAGGGAGAGTGGGAGATGAAGTCACAGAAGGTGATGGGGAGTCAGGGCAAATTGTGTTGAGCTTTTTGAACCCACTGTAAGGATTTTTAAAAGATAAATATTTATTTATTTTTTTGATTTAAAAAATAGAGTTGGGGTCTCGCTGTGTTGCCCAGGTTGGTCTCAAACTCCTGGGCTCAAGCTATCCTCCTGCCTTGGCTTCCCAAAGTGCTGGGTTTACAGGCATGAGCCACCTTGTCGGGCCCACTGTAAGGATTTTTGTCTTATTTCGAATGAGGTGACAAGCCTTTGGAAATTTCTGAGCAGAAGCATGGCATAGTCTGATTTACATTTTGAATGATCTCTCTATATTCTTGATAATAGACTTTGGCCAGAAGCAAGAAAGCTGTTTAGGAGGGCATTCAGGCATGGTTTGATGGTGGTTTGGACCAGGATAGTAGCAGTAGAGGTGGTAGGACATGGTTAGATTCTGGGTGTGTATTAAAGATGAAGTGAGAGAGAGTAGTCAAGGATCACTCTGAAATTTTGGGACTGAACAATTGGAAAGTTAGAGTTGCCATGAAATGAAATGATGAAAACCGCAGTAGGCAAGGTTAGGAATCTGGCTTTGGGCAGGTTCCATTCGAGAATTTATTAGACATCCTACCAGAGATACTCAGTATCTCTGTATGAATTTCATATTTACATTCAGCTGAGTATCTCTGCAGCTGGAAATGTAAATATGAATTTCAATGGAGAGGTCAGGGTTGGAGAAAGAAATGTTGGAGTCTTCAGTTTACTAAAGCAATTTAAAACCCTCAGCTCACCTAGGAGTAAATTAGAGAAGAAAGTCAGGAACAGCCTCTGGGCACTTCAAGCTTGGTTAAGGGGCTGAGAATGTGAGAAGGCTGCAGCTAAGAGACCAAGAAGGGAGCCAGTGAGATAGAAAGGAAACCAAGAAAACCAAGAGAAGGGAGTCAACAGTGTCACTCAAGGAGAACTGAGAATTGACCATTGAATTTAACCATGTGGCAGTGTGGGTGACCTTGCTAAGTATAATTTTGAGAGAAAAGTAAGGTCATATGTTTTAAGAGATTTGAGAAAGGATGGAAGGAGAGGAATTAGAGACTTAGTATAAGCACCTCGAAGTCAAGATCTTTTTTTTCTTTTTTTTTTGGTTTCTTTCTTAGATGGAGAAATAAAACATTTAAACTTACAGGTAGTAGTCCAGCAAAGGGACAATTGGATACAAGACAAACTGGAGGAAGTTCAGAGACAAGTTTAAGGAGGACATTTTAATTTATATGCATATGTGCAAGGATTTTTATAGGCTAGATTCTTAAAAGGATTTCCTAAGTCAAAGGGTATGTGCATTTTAAAAACCGGTACCAATTTATATTCCACTTTCAGTGTATAACCTTTCTAACACTGAACATTCTTAATCTTTAAAATTATTGCCAATCTGATAGGTGATGATATCTTCATTATTTTAATTTGTTTTATTGCTTTCTAGGAACTGTTTATTTAGTCTATCTAATTCTTTGTGATATTTTGTCAGATACTTTCTCCTAGCTGTCTCTTGCCTTTTAACTTTGCTTATGGTATCCTTTTACCATGTATGACTTTTCAAAAAAGTTTTTATGTAGTTAAGTTTGTCAGCCATTTCCTTTTATAGCATTTGGGTTTCATTTAGATATAAATATTTGATATAATCTAATATGTGTATACATTTACATTTTCAATTCATTTGGAGTTTATTTTTGTATATGTTAAGAAAAAAGTTTTCCATCTTTCTCTATATTCTTAAACAGCTAAATACCGTAGGAGTTAACTGTTTCTTGAAGATTTGAAAGAAATTACCTATAAAATCTTCTAGGACTAGAGCCTCTTTGGAGGGTAGGTCTTTGACTACTGTGTAATTCTTTTTCTGTGGTTAATGATCTGTATGGTTTTTATGTACTTCTTTTTAGTTTTGGTAACTGATATCGTCCCAAGAACGTCATTCTTTTCATTTACATTTTCAAATTTATTGGTTCAAAATTCTACATAAAGTGAGGAAATACCAAGTCTTCTTTACAGTATATCCCTATACTTACACCTTTATCTAGGCAATAAATGCTGGAGCTGTCCTTTCACAGATCTGGAGATTAGGTTAGCTATTTTCAGCCCTTAATGGCTCTGTTCTTGGGGATATTTCTAAATTCTCATTCTCTTTTGTTTGTAAGGTTTCTTGGCTTTGTTTCCTGTTTCCAGTCTGATCCCATTTGCTCTTTTTTTTTTTTTTGTTTGAGAGACAGTCTAACTCTGTTGCCTAGGCTGGAGTGTAGTGGTACAGTCTTGGCTCACTGCGACCTCCGCCTCCAAGGTTCAAGCAATTCTCCTGCCTCAGACTCCCAAGTAGCTGGGAGTACAGGCATGCGCCACCATGCCTGGCTAATTTTTGTATTTTTAGTAGAGACAGGATTTCACCATGTTGGCCAGGCTGGTCTCGAACTCCTGACCTCAGGTCATCTGCCCGCCTCAGCCTCCCAAAGTGCTGGGATTACAGCGTGAGCCACCATGTCCAGCCCAGTTTGCTCTTTAGCTTACACAGTTTCTACTGTTAAAGTCTGCTGGTAGATCTGTGCTTTTGTTGGTTTCCAGCATTTTTATTTTCATGTTTTTATATTTCTTCTGTCATATTGTAGGGATTTGGGGAGGGATAAGAGGCAAATGCATATTTTCAGTTAACCTTTTGAAATTGGAAATCACTTCTTTTCTGTGTAGTTTTCTTATTGCCTTGTTTAATTGCTGGTTGCACAATAGTTGGATAGTAACTTCACAACTCAAGTAGTAATAGATAGACTTCACTTTATTTTTTTAACGAAACCAGATGTCTTAGTGGAATATACTCATTCAGAAGAAATGTTGATATGTTGTCACTAAATATTCAAATAATACTTTTCAAACCTAAAAGTAATCATAACATTTAGAACTGTAAGGGACTTTACAGATCATTAGACCAACTGCCTTATTTTATGGATGAGGAATTTGAGGCCGAGAGAGATTCAATGATTTATCTCAGGTGACAAAGTTGGTGATCAGGACGGAAAGCCCGAGTCTCTTTACTTCCATTCTGCTATGCTATTTGCTGTCATACACATTCATGCTGTTCTCCTTACCTATGTGATAAAGAGGTATTTCTGTTAATACAATTTTTTTTTTTTATTCTAAAGATGTTACCTATGGCTTAGAATTGCTTCTAAAATTTGGACTTAGATACTTTAATAATACATTGATATAGGTGAATTGTTAAAGTATGGGCTGTCAGAGTATGCACTGGCACAAATGAAAACCATATTGTTTATTTGCCCCAAGTTTCCTCTTTTCTGCTTATGGGCTTTATATGATTTATGGACTCTTTGGATTTCTTATTAATATTTTAAAGAAGCTTAAGGAATATAAATATAAATATATATAGGCTTGAAAAATGATTTCTGTGATACATATTTTAGACCTAATATTTTTACTTTTTTTGTTTAATATAACATGCTCTCAGATCGACACCTATATTTAGAAGGACTGAAATACATATTTTTCTTAAAAAAGTGCTTTACTTACCATTTCTTTAGCAATCATTAGGAGATCTATTTATCAAACTTTAATTGCTTTGCTAATTCAACAGTTTTTAAAATGTAGGATTTTGATTATTGCTATCTCATGTTTGGTAATCATGTCTTTAGTTCTTTAAAAGTTCTTTAAAAATACAAAAAAATTAGCTGGGCATGGTGGCAATGGGCCTGTAGTCCAGCAACCTGGGAGGCTGAGGTGGGGGGATCCCTTGGGCCCAGCAGGCAGAAGTTGCAGTGAGTGGTGATTGCATTATCCTGGGCGACAGAGAGAGACCCCATCTCAAAACAAAACAAAACAAAAATGTTGAGAGTTTGGTGTGCATAGCATTAGTGGGCTTCGGTTGGTTCTTCTTCCACAGCCCCCCAGGAAACTTAAGAAGGGGACAAATTGGAATGTATTTAATCTAGAATTAAATTCTAAAAAGATTTGTTTATCTTCAGGTTTTAACTCTTAGTGTCTTTGAAATACATGATATGACCTATTGATTTTTTTTTTTTTTTGTAAACTAAAGAACAAGCTCTGTCTCTAATACGAATTCAAAGAATTTAATTTTTTCTAGTCAGCCATAATGGCAGGTGAAGAAATTAATGAAGACTATCCAGTAGAAATTCATGAGTATTTGTCAGCATTTGAGAATTCCATTGGTGCTGTGGATGAGATGCTGAAGACCATGATGTCTGTTTCTAGAAATGAGTTGCTGCAGAAGGTATTTTAAAAATGTAATTTCCTAAAAATGAATTTCATAAAACAGAGTGCTATTTTATGAAACATGCGGAAGAAGAAACAGATTAATGACCTATGCCCCTTTTCCCCTTTATTTCAATTTTATTAGTGTTTGGGTATTTTTAGGGGGGAAACAAAACACAACTCCAGCCTTAGGAAATAACCTCCTAACTGTGTTTTTAACTTGGTTTTGGAAAAAAAAGGAGCACTCACAGTATTCTTTTTGACAGACTCTATCTTTGACCTTTTAAGTATTACAATGATGTGATCAGGGTTTCTGGAAACCCTATAGGACAAAAACAGTAAATTGACTTTGACAGTCTAAAACAAATCTCATTATGTTTCTTCTGTCTTTGGTATTGCCTAAGCATCTTAGCCTGCTTCTTATACATAAATGCATCATGTACAATGTTTATATTGATAAATTACTTTTGATATACAAAACCCAGATCGTAACTCTCGAAATTAAAATAATTCAAAAGAATTTTTCTTGGGTTGTACACTTTCCTTGTCTAACTAAAGATGATACCCTAAGGTGAAAATTTGTGGACAAAAGTCACTCATTAAGAAAACTTCTTTTTACAAATTATTTTCAGATCATTTGGTTATTGGATTATATGAATTGAAAAAAATTCTTTGATACCTTGTACTTGGTAAAAGTTTGAAATGTTATCAGATGGTGTTCCAAGTTTGTGTATTTTTTTTCTGTCTCACTTTCTCTCTTTCCCCCCTCTTTTTCTTTTTTAACAGTTGGACCCACTTGAACAAGCAAAAGTGGATTTGGTTTCTGCATACACATTAAATTCAATGTTTTGGGGTATGTGTGTTACTTTGGAATTCATTAGAAAGCAAATTACTTATTGTGTGAAAGATGATTTATTTTTAAAATGCTAACAATTTACATACAATTATACTTAATAACAATTTTAATAGATATTTATTTTTAAATCTGGATGCCAGTGAGCCACACATAGATTTAGTATTACATGGAGATTGAATAATTTAAAGTTTAATTGTTTGTAGGACTTTCCTTTTTTGTGAACAACTAGTTTCTTTAATTGGAATGTTTTAAATTAATACATTCACCATTTTATTCCATGAAATTTTTCTATTTTAGTTTATTTGGCAACTCAAGGAGTTAATCCTAAGGAACATCCAGTAAAACAGGAATTGGTAAGATTTTATTTCTTTTTATTTTATGTGTTTGCTGTTGTATTTCTGAAGTTTGTCACACTACCTTTGTCATACAAATTGGGGAGAACAGAAAGTGAGCCAGACCTTACTATCTTTGAGTTTTTTTTTCTCTTACCTTTTTCAGATAATTGGTATTCCATATATTATATAAATCTCAGAATGGGAAAATGTTATGATTCTAGTAATTATTTATAACTTACATATTATTTTTCGTATAAATTCTTGAAATCCTGTTTATCTCTAGAACTACTTTTTAAAAAAGAAAAAAACTTCTATACAGTTCTTAAAAGTATATTCTAGTTGATTTACTAGCAAAGACGGGAAAGTTTCTCCCCCCACCTTTTCAATTCCTCCATTAATTCATTTTCTCAGCAGTAAAGAATCCAGTTCAGCAACAAAGCTAAAAGCTTTTTTGGCACCAGCTGTATGTGTACTGTCCAGTAATTCTGCATTAGACATATTTACAACCTGTAATAAATCTTCTAGGTTTGTCTTTGTATTCCATTTAGATGTATAAGTACAGTATATAAGGTCTGGTATCTTGGAGTTTTTGCTGACTTCAAAAATTAAATCAAATCATTCAATTTGAAGAGAAAAATTAGAAATCAAACTTACGGTTACCTTCTTGACTTGGTTTTATGAATAAGAATATTAATAAATTGATTCTTTGTGTTTATAAAATATAAGGCAGATGTAGATATGAAATACACTTGACATTGTATTCTTGTTCTCAAGTCTTAGGGTAATTGATATGTATGTTATTTACAACTTAGTAAAGCACTTGGTCATTTATTTTTTAAAAATGAGTAAGCCAGATCTGTTGTGTTCAGTTTTTCAACATGTAGTCTAAGACATTTCCTTCTTTTAAAGTTTTTGCAGGGGGGAAATAAATTTATTTTTAAATAAAACAATTGTGAAAAAATATTTAAAGCAAAAGTGTAAAGCAATATGATATACAGATCTGAAAATAATGGCTTATATCTGTTTTCAACTTCATAATATGGACTTTACATGCAGTTTCTCTTTTTTCCATTAATATGAAGTTATTTGGAGTACTTGATACTGTCTTTGTGAAAGGACAAGGTCATTTGTTTTCTTTCTACCTCAGAATCTACTTTACGAAGTAGTACGTTAATATTCTAGATAAGGGTTGGTGAATAAAAAGCATGCATAAACCTGTTCCCCTTTTCTGACCTTATGTAGATAATACTAATTGATCACAGACTTAGTGTGTGATAGGAAACTTATTTACCGTATATATCACAAATGGGAAAAGTCAGTTTACTCATTCAACAAATATTTGAGGGCTTACTGGGAGGTAGGCATTATTTCCAAGTGAGATGATTCCTCTGTGAATAATGCTGATCCCTGCCCTTGTGGCAGACACCAGACTGTATCTAATGGAGAAAAACAATAAACATAATAAACAAATAAGAAATATATATGAATATGTAGTATGTTGGAAAGTTATGGGAACAAAGAAAAAGAGTAGGGTAAGGGGGACTGGAGTGCTTTAATAGGACTGCAGTTTTAAATGCTGAAGTCAGGGCCTCAAAGACAAGGTTAACATTTAAGTAGACTAGAAGGAAGAGAGGGAGTGACTGTGTGGGTAATTGAGGAAATATCCTTCTAGGCAGAGGAATAAGCAGGGCAAAGACCCCAAGGCAGGGTTGATGTGTGTGTGCTGCAGCTAGTATCTACCATTGTAAGCACTGTGCCTTTATTCAGACAGAAATGGGGCGTCACTAGAGAGTGTGGAGCAGAGTTGCCAGTCTTTCACAGTGAAAACATTATAAGATTCTGCATTTTTCTGTATATGTTTATGTAACTGTTGATTATTTTAATGATGCTTGTTTTTAAGCAGTGATCAGTTTTTCACTTTGCTATTTTATGGCTCTCCTCAACTTTATTTCTCCATTTGAAGCATAAGAGCCATTTATGCTGATTAATGGTCTCAGAAGATTCAGTGGAACAGCAACAGATTATGTTTCTCATCTTGTAAAGTCTGATTACAACTGTGTATTTTAGTAGAAAATTTCGTGTATTTACCAATCAAAATTATAAAATTGAATAATTTGTATTTTCATTCTTCCTAATTGTTACACTAGATGGTAGCATGAAAAGATAGTTAAGTACTACCTCATGTATTTCCTGTTTAGAAAAATTTCAGGATAGTTTAGTTTGTATTTTGCAAGTATATGAAAGCTCCGGTTTTTTACTTTAGATTCAAAACAGTTAATATATAGATTTGTGTTAATGGTGATTTAAAAAAATGTATAACCACCTAGAAGCTTTCAATTCAATGTTTATTTGTGGAGTAATGTCTTAGTGTGATTCTTCCTCTTTGGAAACAGAAGACTTCTGAAATGACTTTTTAACATCTGTCTTTCCCCACCCTCCAACTGTGAACTCCAGGCAAGCAGGGAGCATATTTATCCTATTCATTTGCATTTCCTAGCACCATGCACTGTAATAGGCAATAAATACATATATGTTGAATTTAACCGAGGTGGACAGCATAGTAAAATCTAGTGGTGGCGAACAGCTTAGTAAATCTATTGCCTTTCTTTTTTATCTTTAAGGAAAGAATCAGAGTATATATGAACAGAGTCAAGGAAATAACAGACAAGAAAAAGGCTGGCAAGCTGGACAGAGGTGCAGCTTCAAGATTTGTAAAAAATGCCCTCTGGGAACCAAAACCAAGAAATGCATCAAAAGTTGCCAATAAAGGAAAAAGTAAAAGTTAACTTTTTGGTTTTGATGTACACATATTCAAAAAGTACATCTTTTTTTTCCCCCCTCCACAAAATAATTCTGTGGCAGGACAAGGTTTAAATGTATTTCTTATTGAATTAATATGTAAATTTACAGTAAATATGTAAAGCTAAATACTTTCCTTTCCAAAGATTGTTATCTTTATTGATTTGCACTGAGGATTTTAACATTGTGATATATTATATATTTATAATTTACCATCTCTTTTGATGAGACTCTTATTTCTTTATATAGGTCAATCTTGCAAGTACCATTTTATAAGCAGCTGTGAAATTTAAGTGAAATGTTCTTTGTAAACATTTGTACTATTTTAAATGAATAATGACCTTATGATGTATGCTATCTGTAGGCCAAAATTATAGGTACATCTGTTTTCACTATATGACATTAAGAAAGCATGAAATGACTTAAATGTTCATTTTTTTCTGTAGTTATTTTATCATGTTTTCATGATTTTAGGAATTACTGCTTTGTTGATATTCAAAGTGTGAAACTAAAACTTTATGGTTGTACTTTAATTCTTGGCATGTTGCCTCTATGTCCCATTTAAAATAAAATACATTCTCATTAACTTTAGATGGGAAATAAGGTTGTATGTTGATGGATGAATTTTGGCATGATGACCATACTCTCTCAATAAAGGCTGGAAATGTTGTATAACTGACCTGTGTATTTTTATCTTTTGAGTAAATTTGACTTCCAAATTAGGAAGATAGGTTTTAGAAGTCACCACAAATAGAGAAATTCATGAGTTTTTGTTCCTGATGCATGTGTCCACAGTTCTTTTTCATCTCATTTTTTTCAGATTTTTTTATTTCATGTTTTTGAGGCTGTATCAAGTACATACAAGTGTTTTGGAACAACGTCTCTTGTTACATAATGCCACTTAAGCAGATGAGAAGTCCAAAGGAGATTACATCGTGTTTATATTGTGGTTTATTTTTCTGTAGTATTAGTTACAGAGAGTACTACATAGTAAAGCTCTTTTTAAATGTCTAAGTGCATGAATTTTAATTACATGCCCTTAATGCTTTCAGTGTTTGAATCCATATCATTATATGTAGGAATGCCAAGTATAGTAAAGTACTTTAATTTTTGAAAAAGGAGTTGTTAAAATTTTCTGTGTGATTAATTCTCCATAAGTAACTTTGAATAAATGGATTCCTTGATTTATGATAGCAGATATTGGAAATGGTCTTAAAATGTAATGGATTTTGTAAAGCATGTTGAACTCTTTCTATGACACATGAAGAGGAAGTCACTGATAGACGCAGAAAGTCTTTTCTAGCTCTGATGTCAGACAGTTTTTGAAGTGGAAGAACATTAATGAACATTTATAGTTATTTTACTCCTTTTTTTGCCTTTGTCTCCAAATTTCTAGCTATTTTAAAAAATAACTTCTACATGAGAAATGTGTTACTGTTAAGATCAAGTGTAGTGTACATGTTTTTGTGTTACTGCAAAGAAATGTATTTGGATTTCTGTATATTTTCTAATTTTGTAAAAGAAAAACAGCTTAAATGAAAAATGTTATACAATTGCAGAAAATTGTTATTGGTTTTAGCTGAGTTATTGGTTTATGAAAGTCCAACTCTACATTCTATTAAATTGTGTATTCTTAAGTGAGCAATTCTTTCATTATTAGTAGAAATGAAAGTTTGAGTATATTCCATTTTATTATGTATAATTTTAAATACTTAGCACATAATAAGGAGCTGAATGGCTGTAGTGCATTGGGTTGCTTATTTGCTTGTCGTTTGTTCATTCTTTTGACAAATATACTTAATGACATTTATATTGCCAGATACAGTGCTACTTAATGACATTTATATTGCCGGATACAGTGCTAGGTGCAAGGTTCCAGAGACGATAACTATAGGCTTTATCCTGTTTTTATAAGGTGTTAAGAAAAAAATAGTCTTTTTATTCAATTCAGTTTTTCAGAGTTATGGAAAATTTTATGACAAATTGTGTTCATTAACCTTATTCAGAACCATAAAGGATGATGTGTGTGGTTGATCTATTTGACTATGGTGCAGTTATTGTTAACAGTTTGTTCCACATGATAGTCTGCTCTAAGTTTAGGTGTTAATTACATCTTTTATTAATCTCTTTGGGAATTAACAAGTTGGAGAAGTTGCATCTATAGATATTTTTAAGATTAGAATTATAGTCTATTAATCTTGTACTAAATAATGAGATCTTGCATTTTAAGATTATTTTAAGTACAATTTTTTTCTTGTTCATAGTTGTAAGGTGGGAAATCCTTTTAGTAAAACAGAGTATGTTAAGTGAAAAATTGAAGCTTGAATTATGTTACATTCCTGGAATTAGGAGGTTATGTCAGGTTGATTCGTTTTTAAGATGCCCTGTAAATTAAAGAATCCTTCTACTTAGCGGTTAGAAATGGATTGGCATTATTTCTAAATAAGGTATTTAAAATTGACCAGAAGTGTAGGAAAGACTTCAAAAATGGACAGTGTATTGAATGTAAATACGTTTTTCTTAAGTAGGTCACTGGAGAAAAAGATAGGAATTTAGGAATCACTCAGTTTATCTTACGGTAAAATTATAATTTTATTCAATAACCAGAAATTCTGGCTTTGCAAAGTGACATTAACTGAGAAAGATGTGAACAGTGACTCTGAGCCTCATGTAATAGTTAAATTTGGTATATAAAGGGAAGAAAAAGCACTGGCATCTCATTTTCTCCCTTCATAGCATAGTTAGAAAACCTGCTCAGATAAATTCAGTGACTCTTTTCCTGAATGATCTTGGTAGCAACCTATTTTATATCAATGTGATGTAAATATAATTTACAAATATAAACATTTATCTTTCCCTATATTCTGATCTAAAACTCTCCAGTTTTGGAAATACAAGCCATATTTTGTTTATTTTATATATTAGCATTTTATGGTTGTCATTAACAATTATGTTGGCGGAAAGTATACAGAATTTTATGATGGAATTCTGTAGATACGTTTCATTTGAATAATTTGCTATTATATTACCTGTTAGCGGGATTTCAAGAAAATGGTTTGAATGTTTTTTGGTTTGCAGGTTGATTTTCCTATCACAGTGGGGGTACAGCCATAGACTACTCTTTGGAATAGCCACCCTCTGACTTGATGTGCCTTTTTAAAGTGCTTATTTATGGCATAACTTTTTATTATTCCCTCAAGAAGTCTGAGATTATGGCGTAATTTTTAACACAGCCAGAAAGATTAGTAAAGTGTTCAGAAAAGAGAGCTATAGTGATAGCTATTGGCAATTGAGGTTTAATTTTTAACTTCATATCTCCCTACTCCCTGCCCAGCTAGAAACCTAAAGCAACCAGCTCTGTGTTAGTAATCTGTTCTTAAAAGGTTGAAACGAGATGCTAGTTTTTACTCCCCCTCCCCACAATAAGCCTTGAAGTTTAGCAAATCTATCATAGCAGAATAACTGCATGCAAGATGTCAATTTTGTAAAGTAATACATTTCAGACAGTATACAAAATTTGATGGTGGGAGGAATAAGTTTTATAAATGAAACATTTAAGAGACTCTTTTTTATTATTTGCTTTTCAGTTTAGTGTTGCCTTTAAGGTGTACCATTTCAGTTTGGCAGCTGCAATAAATGACAAGAAAATTGAAGATGATAATTCAGCATTTCAAGATGTTTCTGCTGAAATGAATGTAGACCTATCCAGAGCTTGAATTTCAAGTTTATTGTAATACAATATTTTAAAGCCAAGTACCCAGGCAAGTCATAGTGATATGATTTGAATGAGATTATTAGGAGGAATAGGAAAGAATGCCTTCAATTTCTTGTTAGGTTGGTATTATCTATTGAGATGCTATGTTGAAAAATGTTACTGTAGAAAGAATAGAAGCTTGTTATACCCAATTTGCTATAGAGTACAATTTGTCTTGGACCTTATTCAAAAAACTTTAGTTATTAAAATAGCAAAATTATAACAAGGAATCACCTCTGATTTAGTGCTAGAGCAGTGGATTGCCTATAGACCATGTTCTAATGTGTGTCTGGTATTTTTTTCATTTGGTGGCCTTTAATTTCACTAATAATTCCTTGACTTATTTAAACAGAAATAATTTGCATTCCCTAGTTTTGATACTTTATTGTTTTTCCCTTAAGAAAGAGATAATTATTTAAAAGTTGCTGGATTTTGTGGGTTTTGACATTTGTGACTTTTAACACTTGTGATTTTTACTATTTGCGAGTGACTTTTAGAGGTCCATGGAGTATACAGTTATTTTGTAATTTTGCCAAGACACAATCTTAATTCCTGCTAAATTTCATGCAGGAAGGCATTAGTCAGCTAGTGATTTAGCTTGGCTAACCTCTTAGCATCCGCAGTTGTTTTTTCCCTGATTCACTTATTCACTCATTCATTCAACAAATATTTATTGAACTCATCCTGTGTACCACGTTCTGTTTTAGGTATAGGAGATTTCAGCAGTTATCCAAACATGGTTGAAGTGGTTGGGAGTTGTCAAACTTTTTATCATGCGATAAATGGCTTCTATGGCTTGAATTGTGTTCCCCTAAAATTCATACATGGAAGTCCTAAGCCTCAATACCTCGTAATGTATCCTTATTTAGAAATAGGGCCATAGTAGATGTTATTAGTAAAGATGAGGTCATTAGGGTGGATCTTAATCCAATATGCCTTTATAAAACTGGGAAATTAGGACACAAATAACATGCACACAGGGAGAACACCCTGTGAAGGTTAAGGCAGAGGTTGGGATTATGCTTCTGTAAGCCAAGGAACACCAGAGATTGCCAGCAATCACCAGAAGCTAGGTGAGAGGCCTGGAGCAGATTCTCATAATCCTCGGACGGAACCAACTTTGCTGATCCTGTGACTTTGGACTGCTAGTCTTCAGAACTGCCAGACACACATTTCTGTTGTGTAAGCCACCCACTTATTGATACTTTGTTACGGCAGCCCTAGGAAACACACAATGGCCATTAGATGAGTTGACACTATTGAGAAGATTAATAACCTGGGTGTGAAAATATGTGTAAAAATCTTTGGCCCAAGATGAACGTGTAATTCTGAAGAAAACCAGGCACCTGGGTAAAGTTATTGAAGAATACTTTTTAATTTGGGCAAAGATCTTAGAACTTACACCTTGAAATGTCAAGGGTCTGTTATACTCTTTCTGAAGCCAAAATGTTCAGACCTTTCTGACAGATATTGTCAGTTATGATTGAGTGTTGAGTATGCCATCTCTTAATCTTTATCGTGCTTGAGGAAATTTACTTAAAGAAAATCCTGTCAGGTTTCCATGGAGAGGAGATTTTCACCAAGCCTATTATCATCATCTGCCATGTGATCTTTCCCTAATGTAATGCAACAGTCAGGTTCAAATAATGAAAATCCTGAAAAAAATCAGCCAGAAGTTGTGTATAATTTGTCCTCTTGGATGAGCACACACCACTTAAAAAATCTCGTATTGGATTCATCCAGATAAGAGATTTCTTAAAAAAATTGTATGTGTATATAAATTCTTAACTGTATAGTGTGGTATTCAGTTTTCTTTATTTTTTATTTTTTTGTTTTTTAAGACGGAGTCTCACTCTGTCACCCAAGCTGGAGTGCAGCGGTGGGATCTCAGCTCGCTGCAACCTCCGCCTTCCGGGTTCAAGCGA